GGTGGTCCCCGACACTTAGTCCCGCCGGTGGTCCCCGATACTTAGTCCCGCCGGTGGTCCCTGACACTTAGTCCCGCCGGTGGTCCCCGACACTTAGTCCCGCCGGCGGTCCCCGCCACTTAGTCCCGTGGGTGGTCCCCGACACATTTCGCCCCGGATGCCATTATTTTTACTTAGTCCCACGTGGCCCCGGGTGCCTTTCCCCGAGGTGTCTCACGTCCCTTGGGCGTTTTGTCGCCCCATGGTGACCCCTCTCCTTTGTCTTTTCTTACGCCTTGTGCGCGCCGATTTCTTTGGTCGTGGGCCTCCGCTCCGAGGCTCCCGTAAGTGGCCCCCACGTTGGCCCCTCATTCTTTAGCTTCCCACGACCTCGGGGTCATCCATCTCTCGACTTCCTCATTCTTTTATCGCTGTCGTGCTGCATTTGCTGGTTGAAGGGCCCTTTGGCCTTAGTCTTTATTGCATTCCAACGGCCCTTCCGGCCTCATGCTACGTCTTATATGCCCCTGTTCCTGCGCTTATTCTCGTGCCGTTGCTGGTTTTCTCCTCCTGTGGTTTTCACCCAAGGACATCACTCCCTCCTGTGGCCTAATCCTTTGTCTTTTCTCTCTCCTGCCGCCTCACTCCAGATTTCTCTGTTGTGCATAGTTCGTCCATATTCAGTCTCTCGAGTAATGGAAAGTTATTCGGGACTCACCAGTTCCGACACATTCCCCCCACTCATTCGCGATGTCCTCATCGCGCACCAATCTCTTGTCAGTGGGTTTTGGAGGGATAGACGGGAGAGGAGGAGGAGATGTAATGGGTAGTTAGTTGTCAGGGTCCATTTTGTCTTTTCTTGCTCCTTTCTAGGTTTTCTTCTAGTTACCGGCCTTGGAACGGGGAGGGGTGTATAGGGTCAAGCTTTCTTTGTCCTTTAGGCTTCTCACGTCTCATTCATCACCCGTAGTACATCAAACCCTTTTCGTCCCGTTCATCACCCTCAGAGCATCAAAACCCCTTTCGTCTCGTTCATCACCCTCAGAGCATCTACCCCTTTCGTCTCGTTCATCACCCTCAGAGCATCAAAACCCCATTCGTCTCGTTCATCACCCTCAGAGCATCAAAACCCCTTTCGTCTCATTCATCACCCGTAGTACATCAAAACCCCTTTCGTCTCATTCATCACCCGTAGTACATCAAAACCCCTTTCGTCTCATTCATCACCCGTAGTACATCAAAACTTTTTCCAATTTTCCTCCTTTCGCTGCCCCTGCTTCTCCGTCGAGTCTTGCCATCCCAGGCACCCTTTGGTTGATCCTCCTTCCATCCCTTGCCAACCAGGCCCCTTTTCCGGCTTCCGTCACCCTTAATGCATTTTCTTCTTGGCTTTTCGACCCGTGCAATCCACGCCTCCCGTCATTCTTTCCTCAATCTTATGCTTAGCCAAATTCACATTTCTTTTTCCAATGTCTTTTTGCCCAACTTTTTATAGCCCTGCCAATTTCGCATGCACGTCACCCTTATTCGACCTTTCTTGTACCCAATCTCAAAAATGTGTGTCACTGAGTCCATTTCATTTGCATATTCCTTCTGGCATATTGCCAGACCCTTTTCATACTCATGCAAAGTCCATTACACATATATCTCTCTTTCTGGCATCTTGCCAGACCTTTCCTTAGGCCTATACAAAACCCAATTACACGTCTTTCTCTTCTGACCTTCTTGCCAAGTCTTCTCTCAAGCCCACGCAAAGTCAATTACTCATCCATTTCCCTTCTGGACATCTCTGCCGGACCTTTTCCCAAGTCCATGCAAAGTCAATTACACAAGCGTTTTTCTTCTGGACATCTTGCCAGACCTTTTCTCAAGCCTGCACAAAGTCAATTACTCATCCGTTTCTCTTCTGGACATCTTGCCAGACCTTTCCTCAAGCCTGCGCAAAGTCAATTACTCATTCATTTCTTTCTTCTGGACATCTTGTCAGACCCTTTCTCAAGCCTGTGCAAAGTCAATTATTCATTCGTTTCTCTTCTGGACATCTTGCCATGCCTTTTCTCAAGTCTGCACAAAGTCAATTACTCATCCATTTCTTTCTTTTGGACATCTTGCCAGACCCTTTCTCAAGCCTGTGCAAAGTGAATTACTCATTCATTTATTTCTTCTGGATATTTTGCCAGACCTTTTCTCAAGCCTGCGCAAAGTCAATTACTCATTCGTTTCTCTTCTGGACATCTTGCTAGACCTTTTCTCAACCCTGCGCAAAGTTAATTACTCATCCATTTTTTTCTTCTAGACATCTTGCCAGACCCTTTCTCAAGCCTATGCAAAGTAAATTATTCATCCGTTTCTCTTCTCGACATCTTGCCAGGTTTTTTCTCAAGTTTGCACAAAGTCAATTACTCATCTATTTCTTTCTTCTGGACATCTTGCCAGACTCTTTCTCAAGCCTGTGCAAAGTCAATTGCTCATCCATTTCTTTCTTCTGGACATCTAGCCTAACCTTTTCTCAAGCCTGCGCAAAGTCAATTACACAATTTCTTGAGCTTATGGTAACCTTCTCTTTTGCACGCTTTTTCATCGGTAGATGGCACACCTTCCCCCCACTCAAAATGCGATGTCCCCATCGCACGACTGGTTCTCACTCGGAGGTACGCAGATCTTGTTCCACCAACTTAGTAGACGGATGCCGGCCCATCAGCCCCAAAAAGGAAGGGTGATCAGTCCTCCCCCTGCTAATAACTCACCTGATCCCCTACTCCGTCCGACCTTTTGCCGCTTACGAGACGGGCATCATCACTGAGGTACCTCCTCACATCTGGCAGGTAGGTCCAGTCCCAACCTCCCAGGACCCCGTCTTGCCGGAAGGGCTTTCTCGCGAATCGTTCCTCCCGAGTGGTGTTTTCTTGGATCCGGCCTCTTTCTTTCAAGAGAGTTGGGACTCTCAATTAGTTTGCGAGTGTAGTTACAAAGACCTCGCGGTTAGTCTCGGAATGGTTGTAATGATCTAGCAGGGCGGTGTCACTCGCCCTGTGGTGGTTGCGGCTTCCACCCGGTACCACACCCAATTCCTCCCTCTGGACAGTGCTCTTCAACTTAATGCGAGTAGCCGTGGTCCGTTCCAAACGGCTGTGGCGCCCCTCTACGACATGGCGTGTGGTTGGGGAGAAAAAATGAGACTTAGAAAAAAGAATGGCTCTCTCGCCCGTTTGGCTCTACGCCCTTGACGTTTAGGTTTTCAACATGAGGCGCAGTTTGAACTCCCCGACTAGAGCTCGTTTTCGGGGTTAGTTCCGGACGACCAATATTAATCAAAGAGAAAGATGCTTTGGTCCTTCAACCCTTATTCCTTCTTGTGAGGAGCAGGTCGCGCTGAGATTTTTCCCTGAACGGGTAGAGGTCTTGGGGTCGCGATGCCGGCATTGCTATCCCTCTTATGTTAAGATTCGAGACTAGAAGAAAAAAAAAAAACTCAATCTCTTGCTATTTCCATGGTCGCCCCGACGACCTTACATCAAGTTGCCTAGGGTGCCCTTACTATGCAATGCAATATCCAATTTTCAAACACTCGATCCCATGCTATTTCCAAGGCTGATTCTCATGGCTGATCCGGCAGCCTCTCATCAACAAGGTCACCCACATGGCAGATCTGGTGGTCGTTCTTTTAATAGCCATTTCTCAAGACCGACCCTTCGATCCATTCAATCCTCAACTCTCTCATTCCTCAATACCCAATCCTTGTGACCATCCCAATAGGCTCGACCTTTTTTATTCTGCCCGTCTCATCCTCTTTCATCCATCCTCTTGGCTATTTCAATGACCGACCCACCGACCTTTTCCATCTCTTTCATCCATCCCATTGGCTATTTCGATGACCGACCCAACGGCCTTTTCCATCTCTCATTGCTCATTCCAGCTCATTCTCAATCATCCTTTTTCAATCAACCTTTCTCAATCAATTATGCAGGGGACACCAGTGCCTATTTGAAAAGGAATGACCCTTGTCAGGGGCATTTCCCGAACAACCTGGTTAGGGTCGTTCTTTTCCATTCTCAAGTTGAACAGCCTGGTTAGGGTCATTCCTTTCCATTCTCAAGTCGAACAGCCTGGTTAGGGCCATTCCTTCCATTCTCAAGTCGAACAGTCTGGTTAGGGTCATTCATTTCCATTCTCAAGTCGAACAGCCTGGTTAGGGCCATCCGTTTCCATTCTCAACGTTAGTGCCCGAGGGGGTGGGCCTCGAGGACACGGATCTCATTTTTGTCTCGGAGGTTAGAAGGTGACCATCTCTTTTCCAGTTTTTAAGCGTACAGTTTCCTTTGTCCATTTCTCAAGGCAATGTACTATCCATGAATACATCCGACTTAGCGTCTAGTACTCGAGTTGGGGCTTGCGACCTCAAGCAGCACTAGCCCACCCGGCTGTTCAACCATAGCAAAAGACAGGAGCGCCCCTCTCTTATTTTCACTCGTTCTAATGACTCGGATTTCAACTATTCTCATACTCGTTCATGACTCAGTTGGATTAGGCTCCTGGGGAAGGAGTGTTCTTTACGCCACTTAACCCATAGGTTCCCTAAGCTCTCTTGTACTCGACCAACATCCAATGTCATGGTTCGCTCATCAATTTGTACTCAAAAGTTTTTTTTCTCAAAAGCACACCCCTTATCCCATCAAAAACTCACAATACATCCTTCCCAACCGTTCTCATCGCATACCCCATGTCCTCGTCTTATGTACCCACTTTCGAAGGTAGCTCATCCAGAAAGTAGCCTCAAAATGCTATCTTCTAGCTTATCGTGACATAGTCTTGCCTGACCCTTTCATCATTCATCCTTAGCAAGCTTACTCACACTATTCATATTTTGGTTCAATGTTTTGTAAATGACAAGCAGGATTCATGTTCAACACTTAATCAACATCTAATTTTTATTGCTGCCTTGTGCCTCAACTTGCTCGATTCCTTGTCCACCCTGTTCCCCGACAGGCTTTCTAACCCTCAGGCAGAAGGTCTCGATTTCTCTCCTCTTCCTTGCAATTTCCTGGAACTCTGCCTCACTGAAAAAGTCCAACGGCGTGGCTTCCACCCCTGCCTTTGCGAGTTCCCGAGTCTTGATGATCCATTCGTGCTTGATCACATTGGTCGATTTCTGAAACCAATGACTGGGCGTCGGCCCAAACTCATCCTCCCATCTGAAAGCCTCTTCGCGCGGCTGGTGCATCGGAGGCCGCCTCTCGTCCCTAGGCCTCGATATTTCATCCCTCTCATCCCCGCTGCTGATTTCTATGATTTCTTGTACATCCTCCTCCTCGTCCTCCTCGTCCTCCTCGTCCTCCGTCTGTATGGGGCTATACCCTCTCGTTAGGTTCTTTGAATCGTATTTATAAGGAATCTTTGTCCTTGTCCCATACCCCTCACAACTGTCGTGGTTGCTTCGTCCTTCAAGCGGGCTTTCCCTTCTCTCCTCACCCTTCTCATGCTCGTCACGCATGTCCTGCCTCCCCTCGCTTTCCCCATGCCAAGTCTCCCGTTGTTCGCCCCTGTTGGCTCCTTCCTCGTCAGAGGCCTGAGCCTTATCTCCCATATCTGCGTTGCCCCCTTCTCCCACATTTGCCCTTTACTTCTCGCCCTCACTCTCAGATGAGATTTTTATACCTTCTCCCTCCCGGAGGGGCGAGGGTCTTCTACATACACACGTTTTTCCACCCCTGCCTACCACTGGTCCGGCTATGAGCCCTATGTACAACTTTCTCTTTGTCGTCCTCCTTTCTCGACTCGGTCCTGCTTCTTCCCTTCTGGTAGGCCTGTTGATTGCCCCGCTGGCATTTTCGTTGCCGAATTCCATTTTTGCCTTTTCTTCTGCTTTTCTTGTAGGTCCAGTATAACAGAACAACACCCGCACAACCCCTCATACACCCGTTTCCCCAGTCCGGTAGGCAGCTCTCTTTTCCCAGAATGCCCCCAGTATCCTTCGCATCATGCCCCTAAGATACATTTTTCTCCCTTATGCAAATGCGCCGTTTGAGATGATCCCATCATTTCCCCGTCAAAAGTTATGATACAGTGCCCCTGACAATCCTTCCCGTTGTCATCCAAACCCGTTACCGCAAACTTCCAAGTCATCCCACCTTCCAACCTCAGTCAGTCCAAACCATTGCCCCAACCCCAGAAAAAATGACAGTCCCACGGACGCAGTCAGAGACAGAACCATAGTGTGGGCAAGGCCATTGTCAGTCATTGGCTTGTAGCCCCTTAGTTTCCTTATCCTCGGCTCCTAAAGCCATTGTTCCATTGGGTCCCGACTTAGAAACCTGACCAATCGTTGCCTTGGGAAGGGTCCTTTCCATCCAGTTTCATCTAAATCTTCCAGTTCAAAGGTGTTCAGTTCCACCCGCTTGGTGACCCGGTAGGGGCCTTTGAACCTCCTCCCCAGTTGTCCAGACCAAGTACTTTCTAGTGCCGAGTTCCTTAGCAATACGGTCTCCCCCACCTGAAGTGGCTCCTTTCTGACATTTTTAACCTGGTCCCACCTTGCTTTATCCCTCATTCTGCTGTCCAGTACCCGGTTGGCAATGTCTTCCATAACTTCTTCGTTCTTAAGGACTTGTTGACACCTTGCCTCGATTAACTCTTCCGTGGTCATTCGCGGATCATCATCTAACCTGTTCCAGGTAGGTAGCAAGGCTTCGACGGAAAAATTGATCTCTCTTCCGTACCAAAGTTTTGCTGGAATACATTCCGTTGTCCTCTTAGGTGTCATGTTCTCTAAGAAGACAGCCTGCTTGAGATACCTAGGCCAGCTTCCGAGATGATCCGCTGCGAGCTTCGCAATCGTGTTCTTTAAGGTTCGGTGCCCTCTTTCCACAGGTGCATTGGCCTTCGGGTGATACGGTTCGATGAGTTTAATCGGTACGCAGAGTCTCTTAAGCATTCCCAATACTTCTTGGTTCACAAATTCTGTCTAATTGTCCGCTATAAACCTCTTGACGAAAGAATGCCTCAAGTAAAAGTCTTCTATCCAGTCCGCTACACTTCTCCCTGTCTTTTTCTTGAGAGTGACCGCCTCCACAAACCCACTCAAGTTGTCTCGCGCATCTAGAATATACCAGTGCCCATATATTGATACAGGCATGACCGCGAGGTCAAGGTGGACCAGATGTTCCGGCCCTAGCACCCGCGTAGGTCTAAGCGGCTCAAAGACACGCATCGAGCTTCGTTCCTGGCAGATAAGGCATGTCTGGTAGTATATGGCGACCATGCCTGCCATGCCTGGCCAATAATAAAGTGGCGTTATCTTTGCGAGAGTTCCTTTGGACGACCGATGCCCTCTTGCTAATCCATCGTGCATTGCCTGGATAACATCTAACTGCCTAAATCTTCGCAAACAATTCTTCTGGGCATAGCACCTTCTTCTCTTCGGAACAAATGATCGTCCCTTAGGACGTACCTTTCGGCCTTCTCCCTTGCTTAAATGCTGACTTCCATAGGTTGTTTGTTTCCTACCAGCAACAACCCGGTCTCCCGAAATACCCCTTCGTATATCGAGGCATAAAAAAACTCCTTCCCTTCCTGACCCTCATCCTTTCCCTCCTGCATCTCGTTTACCACCCATTGCAACTCTTTCCTTTCCCAAGATTCCACTAAGCTCATCACGGCTTCCCAACCTCCCTCAACCGCCATTGCTATTAGTTCCTCCTTCGGTCCTACTATCGCTCCCCATGAATCTCTCTCCTCTTTACGACCTCGAGTGGTGACCGGTCCTTCTTTAAGTTATGCTACTACCGCAGGCGTCCCCTTCTCCAAAGTCCGGATTAACAGTTCTTCCGACGAGCATTCTTTATCCATCATTTCGTTGTCCACCGCAAGAGTTCCTCCTTCGAATTCAAGGAACGCATCTATGGGCTCCGCATCCTCCACCCCTTCGGGAGTGATGCAGAGCCGACTCAACTCATCCGCCTTGTTTCTGATTCCAGCAATCCGTTCGATCTTGTAATCGAACTGCCAGATAAATCCTACCCATCTCCCCACCGTCGGATCTATAGGCCTGTAGTTCTTTAAGGCCCCTGCGACATTCGTCGGATTGATCCTTAAGATGAACCGCCTCCCAAATAGGTAGGCCTGGAAGGTCTTGAGGCAATGTAAGATGACTAAGACCTTTTTGAACTGCGAGTACCGCCGTTCTTCGGAGTTCAGGGTTCTACTTTCGAACCTAATCGGCCTCTCCCTTCCTCATCCCGTTGAATCAGCACGCCTCCTACGGCCAAGGGTGCTCCATCCGTTTCTAGGATGAATGGTCGTCCCTTTTCGTCATTAAAACAAGGCGCTGACAAGGCGACTTGCTCAAATATGTCCTTGAGGGCTTGGACGGCTCCTTCGCACTCCTCAGTCCAATCCATGGTCCCCTCTTCTCTAATCATGGCCCGGATAGGCTCGGCAATCTTGGCGAAATTCTTAATGAAGATCCTCCAAAATCCGACCATGCCTAGGAACGCTCTTACCTCCGTTGTCGTGCGCAGGGGTGTTGGCCACTGTGATATCTTGCCTGTCTTCCCCGCGTCTGGCTTCCTACCGTAAGCACCGCAGCGAAATCCTAGTATAGTTACTTCCGGTACTGCTAGAATACTCTTTGGTACGCTAGCCGTGATGTTGTATACTATGAACCGGCGGAGGAAGTCCTTGATGTCTTGCACATGGTCCCATACAAATCTTCGAATCCTAGGGTGGACTTCAGTCTCGTCCTTCTCTTGAGCGCCTTTGATTGGGTTGTCATCAATATAGGGCTCACACTTTTCTGGAAACATGTCTCCGACTACGGCGAGCATTCTCCTTTGCGCTTCGACTACCGCATTCGTAAAGCCCATAGGGGTCACCTGCATCTGCAACTGGCCTACGGGTGTGTGCATTGCGGTTTACGGCCTGTCCCGGACATCCAACGGAAGTTGGTCGTACCCTGAGTACAGATTGATCAGGGAGTAAATGCTGCGGCTGGCGTGCGATTCTGCTAATAAATCAGCCTGAGGCAGCGAGCCAGCATCCCGGATGGTTACCGCATTCAACTTCTGTAGATCCTGAATCCACCTCAGCGTCTTGTTGGGTTTCCGAATGACGAACCACCGGTTCACGTATGGCGACGCCGTAGGTTCCGTGACGAAGGAGTCCATCTTCGCTCGAAGAAGGTCTGTCACTTCCCCTACTATCCCAAATTCATAGGACGAACCCTTGTCATCCCAGCATTCATGTTCTACCGTGTGGATTCTGACCGGAGGAATTAGCTTTGCGTCCAGCCGCCCTTTTTGGTAATCACTAAAGGCAAATGTCGGGTGAAACTCTTGGCAAGTCCTTTTGATCAGGCAGTTTTCCTCTTCCGTAAGGAACCCGTCTACCCCTATCTTCATCGTATCAGCTACCTCATCTGGTATCTGATGTCCTTCCGTCGCTCTCCTCTCTTGGATCACTCGAAGGACTTCCTCCTTCTCCATAGCCTCCTCCTTTGATGTCTCTAGCAGGATTGAGACCGGTTTTGCTTTCTTCCCTACCAGCTTGTACTTTCGAACACTTCCTTCCGGGATCTTTCTCCTAAAAAATGAACGGTCGGGATTGCTCTTGTCGCCTCTGCGATTCGTGGTTGAATGCTAACTAATTTCCCATTCAGACAATATCCCTTTTGCACCTCTCCTTCGAATTTGACCAAGGCCGCCGAGTCCACTCCTACCTTGTGGTATCTGAGGGCCTTGATGAGTTGTAACAAATCGGGGATCTCGAGTGCGACTTCTGACATGTCCATGTGTACTTCTTTCCGTCTGGGTAGGTTGGCACCGAGTTCGACTTCTGATTCCTTTTCTGCCACCATAACACCCAAGATTTCCTCCTCCTGCCTCCTCTTCTTCTGGGGCAGGCCCATCTTGATCTATTCCTTCTTGTTGAACGCCTCCTCAATCATAATTTCTACCCTTTCTCTCATGCCCTCCATCAGCGCAAAAGCCCCTTTTCGTGCGCTTTCTTCGAACGACGGCGACCATGTTGCAAACTTCCCCTTCGGAGGGTCTCCTCCTGTCCCTAGAAGTCGGAGGAGCTCTCCCCTGCCAGTCACTGGGTCCTCTATGTCCACCATGTACGTGCCATCGTGCAAGTGCATGCCTATTATTTCCACGTTTGCGCACCACGGTCTCCCGAGGATTATATCGTGGTCCATTTCCTCCATTACTGTCATCCGTTGGAACGACCAGATCGACTCCCTGACTCCCGCCTTGACTGCGCATTTCGTGACATACCCAGCGAACGGGATTTCCCCACCGGCTCCCCGGATGCTCCCTGTTACTTCCTTATTTACCGTATAGCCCATGATCGTTGCGAAATTCCTCCTTATGAGAGTAATTTCCGCTCCCCCGTCTACTAATGCATCGGTATGATGAGTCCCGATTTGGATTTTCAACTTCCCCACGGGTAGCGCATGGAAGCTAAGCTTTATTCCAGGGGGGGCCCTCATGACCTCACCACCTTCTCGGTCTCGCAAGCTCAAACCGATGTCTGCAAAAGCTTTCTCAAGATCCTCTAAATCCCCGCGACTCCTTTGAAGGTTAGCGACCTCTTGCGGGGCTTCCTCCTCCCTTTCTTCTTCTGGTGCCTCGTGGTTCTTGTCTATCTCTACTTGCCGCCGAGTCAACAATTGTCTAAGCCCTTTGAGCAACCTAGGGCTGGCCTACAGCATAGTCTGAAACGACACCGATACCATGGTTCCTAGTAATTTGCTAAGGGTGTCATCGATCTCTGGCATAGTTAAGATCGGGATTTGGTATCTAGACTTCTTTTTAGCAGCGGTAACTTTATCTGTAAGCTCCTCTTCCCTTGACTTCCCATATACTTTTTCTGGTTCCCCGGCCTCGGGCTCTGCCTGGGGCGCAGAGCCTTCAACAACCTTCTCCATCACGGTGTCACGGATAATCCTTCTCCCAACCGTCCCTAGTCGAGTAGTCGCGTTTACCCTATCGCGTCCGTCATTTTCCAAAATGAAGTTGACTTGCGGCCCGCGGCCCCGAAGCTGATCCCAGATGATATCGACCACTGGCTCACCTTCTACGGTTGCTATCTCTAACCCATTGAGCATGATAACGGCTCGTCGCATCCCCCTTAGCGACTTCCAATTCACCCGTTCTCCCTCTGGTCCGAATATCTCCCCCTTTAATGGCCTGGTACATCTCCTTTTTAATATATCATGGTTGAGTTTCGGACATGAGCGCACATAATGTCCCATCGCGGTGCAGTAACTTCACTGCTTGCTCACAGGATCTCTCTGTCCGAATCCTCGATTGGCTACACCTGGCGGAACTACGGCTTCCTGGGGAGGGAGGGCGGGTCGGGATACTTGCGCGTGCATAACCAGTAGCGCGTTCTACACCCTTTCAATCTTGTTGTCGACTCCATACACCCGTTCATGTAGACTTTCAATCCCCTTCTTTACCTTGTCGTTTGTCCTACCGGTCAGATCTATAACCTCCCCTTCCTTAAGCAAGGCCAATGTCTAGGTCACTACTGCCTTCTCGGCCAGATCCGTCACCGTACTGAAATCAACATCCCTGTTGTTTACGGACTTGCTTGTCTGTTGGTAGGCTGACAGAATTTTGTCTTTGTCGAACTCGGAGAACTGCCTGAGGAGGTATTTGCTCATTATTCGGTCCGTAACCTCGGGGATCCTTAGTGGCACCAGAGTAAACTCCTGTAGGAAGTCATTGTACGTTGCGAAGTTCCTCCTCTGAACTGCCGCTAAGTTGGCCTCCGTAGTCATCTTCTCCGCTGCCAGGTACTTTCTCATCATCACATCCCGGGCTTCCTTCCAGGATCGGCTCGCAGCTACGATGGCCATTATGTCCCGCCCCAAGCTCAAAGACACATGGTGTCCCAGGTGGTCCATTTTTTCTTCTTCGGTCCATTTCAACAATGCGGCCAAGTTCTTGTAATCTATCAGAATTCTATGATGTCCGCCCCGTCAAACGTCAACTTTTTCTTAGCGTCTTCTAAGTAGCCTTGTTTTTTTTTCAGTGTTCGTGCGAGGGACGATACTATCTTCCTAAGGCTGCCTTCGGAGCTACTGGCCTCGCCTGGCATACTGGTATCCGGTCCTTCCTTGCCAGCCTTCTGTCCCTCCCTCGTCTTTGCAGTTCCTTCCGGGCTGAACCACCCCAACACCCTTTCCCTGAGGCTCCATAGCCCTTCACACCCTCGTGTTACTGCTCGTGTGGTCGGCAAGCAGCTAGCCCTACTATCTATGGCTGGTGGGTTCGTAGCTTTCTCTGGAGAGTTCTCTCTCTCTTTCCTTCTTTTGCTCGGCGTTCCCCCACGGTCACTAGCCTTATCCCCTTGCCCAGTTCCGCCCTGGTCAGTCCTCCGTTCGTCCCGCGGTTCTTCCTGCAGAGGACCTTCTTCGTTCCCAGTCATCATTTCCTCGATCAATCTTGCCTTGTACTCCACGGTCCTTTTTTTTATCTCTGCTAGTTTGCGCCTCGCATCCGTGACCCTTACTTTCTTAGACACAGCTCCCTCTGAATTCTGGGGGCTTATCCTATCCTTATTTCTGCCCTCCTTGGTTTCCTGAGTCCCTTGCCTGCTTCCCCCGGCTTTCCCCGAGCTTTCCCCTGATGAGATTTCCTTTCGGTTCCCTTTGGTACCTTCCGGATTTATCGACTCTCTGTCTTTCTGCCCCTCTTCACTTTGTATGGCACAACCTCCTAAGCCTGGTCGTCCTTCGCTCTTACAGTTACCCGTCTCGTCCTCCGTTGCCATTTTGCATACCAGAGGATTCCCCAAGACACACGCAAAGCGAGGCATTTAGGTTCCCTAGGTTTCGGCTTCGTTGGCTTATCTTTATTCCGAAAATAGCCTTCTCCCTATTTCTGTTTCTTGATTGTTTCCCTAAGAAGGAGCCATGACTGACCCTACTGCCTGCCGAGCTAAGGGCGCGACTTAGTTTCCTTTATCACAGGCTCGTTTAGAGCGCCCTTGTCCTGTCGGACCGGCTCGTAGAAGTCCGGGTTAGGCATTCTGCTAGGGAAAGTTTCCCGGGCAGTATTCCCCTTTTCGACCTTCCGGGTCATGGCAACCATTAGGACTCTATCCTCCCCTCTTTGTTCTCTAGCAAGTTTTGATCGTCCGGGTTCAAGATCCTTCCTTATTTCCATTAGGAGTCTATACTCAATTTGCCCCATTGGCCCGCCCCCGGACGCTAGTCCCGTTCTCGCCCTTGTGGCCCTTTCGGTTCGGTAGACTCCTCGAATAGTTGAGCCACCCGTGCTAGATAACTCTCTCCTATCTCGATTTCTCTTAGGATTATGTGTTCGTATTCCGCCCAAGCTAGTCGTGGCAACCCAAATATTAGAATATGGACGACTTCAAGTAACTTGTGGGCCCTGTTTCCCCAGAACCGCCCATGTTCCACAGAAACATCGTAGAACATCCCGATGGTTTGAAAGGGGAAGTGGTCTACCCAAACTATCGCCGAGTCTGCCAGTTCCAGTGTCCTCGCGAGACTCCCGAAGATGAGGTCTATCATAAATCGGGGGACCCGGCACCTCAGCGGTGTGGTTGGTGCCGTGAATTCCCTCCAACCTCCCATTTTCACCTTGGTAAGTAAATCCACGTTTCTTCTACCCCTGACCGATTGTCCTATCCACGTCAATACCCGGGCCGCCCTCGGGCAGATTGGAGCCAGTTCGTGGCCTTGTGCTATTCCTATCCCCAACAAGTGCCAGCCAGCCTTGGGTAGGTATAGGACCCCGGTTATCTCCAAATTGGAAAACAAGTCATCCCCAGGCCCCCAGTTGAGTCTCATCCCTATCCACCGACATTCCACCAACATAAAGGCTTATCTCTCCCAAGAGTCACGGCCCCCCATTCTGTGTCGAACCCCCGAAAGTTGGAATTTGACGGGAGGGATACTTCTCATCGCCCGTTGTTATTCCAGGGCGGTCCGGGGTACCGGGGCTGGCGTTCCATTCGCACACGTCTTGCTGCCAGTGTTGCCTTGACAATTCCCTGCATAGTCCACATAGAAAGTGTTACAGCCAATCCTCAGTAAACGTTCACCTACTACCCCCTTACCCTTTATGTTCTCATTCTTCTTCTCTGGTCCCAACTATCCCTCCATATCCTCAGAAGCCGCAACCTCCTCTGGTTGTTCGTACAACCGGTAAAGGTCATCTGTGTAGGTCGCGCCCCGACCTACTTCCCGCCTGATGACTCTCCACATGGCCTCATCACTTATTTGCAGAACCCCTGGCCTAGTATTTACTATTGCTCGTAGTATGCAAAACACCCCGTGCCCTCGTTCGTCTTCAAAATGCCCCATCTCTAGGAAGGCCCGGTAGTATTCCTGATACATTAATGCTTCGTCAAAATTTAGCCTAGTTATGGCAGCTACCGCCTGGTCTACTCGCTCTACGCCTCCCATTCGTCTTAGTAGAAAGGATGGTAGACTCATTCGTACGACCTCATTTGGCAACTCAAAGACCCCAGCTGCGGTAACTTTTACCTCAACCGTTACGTCATCTTGTTCCAGATCCACGAACTCCAACCCCTCCCGCCAGGTTATTTTCCATGCTCCTTCGAACATTCGCACGGGGTCATCCCCCGAAGCCAAAGCAATCCCAAAGGTCCGCCATCCTTCTTCCGACAGGTGTAAGGATACCGTCGTATGCACGTGCCCTGAGAGGTCCAAATTTATGCCCCCGAACTCTCCTCTCGCACGCCATTCCAACTCTACTACTAGGTACACCGTGTCTTCCACCAATTCTACCCCCACCCAGTCCATTACCGGGTTACTTACCACGTTTCTTGCTGGCATGCTTATTTCGACTCTCCCCGTGATGCTCTTGGTGGTAGGATCCCGCGAGGCCTATCCTCCCAAAACGTCATTCGTCGGGCCATCTGGCAATGTCTCCTTTCCTGCTTCCTTAGTCCGATTGCTGCACCCAGCGAGATTCAATGCCTTTCGTGCTTTAGTCTTTCAGCACTCCCTACCTATCGTACACTGGTTCTTGCTGCTATCCCTGCCCCATACACGTACAAATTTTCTTCCCATTTTTAGTGTTGCTACCTCCCCTTGTTTCGACCCCCTCGCATCCCCTGCTAACTAATGTACACGCCCCCTTTTCTTACGCTACATCCTAATTCACCTGCACCCTCCATACTCCGACCTCCCTACGGTGTTCGATTTTCGGGTCCCTTTAATCGAACCACAGTACCTCAAACAGCGTAAAAACATCGTCCACGTAGGATGGCGCGGCCGCCGCCTCCCGACTAACCATGGCATCCCAAGCTTCCGCGTCTACCTCTAGGCGGTCGTACTTGCCTATCCTCAGGGCGGTGATGACTTCACTGACTTTATCGCCGTAGAAGGGCCCATATTTTAAGGAGAACCTATAGAATTCCTCGGTCAGTCAGGCACATTCTATGTGTGCTTCCCTCATGGAGTCGGCCACATCTGCTATGTGCTCGAAACCCCCGAACAAGTCAACCATGAACTCGAGCACCTATGCGGTTGTGCGCAGGCAGGGAGGTCTGAGTTCCCTCCATCCTCCCATCACCACTCTGCTACTTACTTCGTCCCACCCCTCATTGCCAAACCTCTTGCCTTCTTTTCGGGTTCGCGCCTCTGAATCCCCTAGAAGTCACATTGGATCATGTCTCGTTGCTAACGTAGTGCAAAATAAGTGTCACCCATCTTCGGAAAGGACAATCGTCCCGACCGATTCCACTTTGCCTTCTGCTATATCGTCCCAACCTTCCTCTTCCCTTATTGGGTTCCAAATCCGTTCTATCCACACATATGATAATTCTTGGGCAACCTCAAACCCGACCCAGTCGCATGTGGTCCCCCTCCACTCGTTTCCTGCTAGTACACGCATTTCTATTCCTCCTTTGAGTCGCCTTGGTTCCCATCCCTTGAAGGTGTATTCCATCATCCTTTCCTCTCTACTCATCTTTCCCCTTCCTGCACAATACCAGACCACCCGTTTCCCTTAGGTCAAGTCACCCTCCTTAGAAGTCCCAGTCTTCTATTTCATCATCCTCGTCCTCATCGTTGAAGTCGTCTTCTTCGTTATAGAACAACTCTCTCACCCCTTCTAGAAATGTCTCCTCTATTGCCACACTTCTATAGACTATCCCCCAATGCATGGAGCTAGAGACCAAAACAGCGTTTACGCGAAGGCAGTTTAGTATCTCAGCCAGCTCGTCCGCCCAGTTCCCCTCAAACGGCCCCGTTTCTACCGACAACCAAAAGAAGTCTTGCCTAACGCACTGGTATAGTCCGAGGTTCGTCATGGACTGGCATATCCGTACTAGCCTGCTTCGGGTTTCGAAAACCGCATCGACGAGGAAGGGAGGCAGCACACATCGCATGGTTCTGACAGGTCGCCTCATGCTTCCTCTATCCCCAAGCTCCACCCGCGCGTCTACCCTTTCCATTTCCATTTTCCTCCACTGACACGCAGCCCGCACAACCTCCGCTTCTGCCTTCCTAAACAATTCGTCCGGCGTATTTCCGAGTGCCAACTCTATGACCATAGCATTCTCCCCGTCTTGCGACAAGTAGACCCACCCTCGAGCTTCCACTGTCCCTCGGAACTCCAAATCCATTAAGCTCGGCGACAACCTCGTCAAGCTGACATTAGCCCACACCGTCTCTATCCACAGAAACGCGTCCTCCCCTTTCAGCATTACGGTTTGATATGCTGGTTCAAGGTCCGTCCACGTCCCATCTTCCAGGAGGACGACCGACACCCCATCCTTTACATCTATTGGCATTTCCGGGCTGCTGGTATAAATCGGGGAAGACAACCATCGCGCCATCTTGTTTCCAACACCCCACCTCTGTTTTCATAAGAGAGTTTCAAACGGTCCTTCCGGTCAGATCAACCCTCGTCCTAGATGATAATTATTTCAGACCCCTCATCAAGGTCTCCCTAATTTACCTCCCCATTCCTAAGTACCTCCTTCCCATGATACCCTCGGTCGGCCATCCATTCCCCCACGTTCTTTCTCTTGGTTCCATTCCAGTTGACCTCTATCCTCTTTCCTTCCAATCATCTCTCACTCATGTGGACTTAGCTGGGGGGGGGGGGGATAGACTTAGAAATATGTCCCGTCCAACAGTCCAAACTCTATCAATCTTTACAGAAGAGGAACACAAAAAAATCAGGCAATCTCACATACGGGCCGGTCATCTCCTCACCGGCCATCCCCAATATGGTCTCTCCGCTGGTACTACAGTAGAGTTTTATCCCATACCTCAAGCGCAGCTCAACCGTCGCGAGCGCAGTACCCAAGCTCCGACAAGGCGTTAGCCCTTTCATTGTACCCAGAATCTTCCATCCCGTCTTGCCGCTCTCGCACATTCGTACCGACACCGAGGGTTACCCCGTGTGCCTAAATACAAGGAAAAAAGTCAGTCGTCCCGGCATTCACTTCCACCGGTCCGGCAAGAATCAGCCTTTCCCAAACCATGCTACGAGAGGCTACTAATCGTCTCTGAGGCTCCGTCTTTGTCCGCATGCAGTGGTACTCCCCCTGCCAGCCAACAGGCTAAGCCCCGCCTGAGAAGACGTTTTGCACCCTGCCCAACAGATCATCGAGCAAAGTTCCTTACTGCTCGAATGGGAATGCTACTAATCAACCGGCGTGACAAACTCCCGTCCGACAGCTCGGTGGCCTCACCTCCACACACGAACACACGGCAGCCTACAAAAAGAGAGCGACATTTCACAACCTGCACAGGCCAGTGCAGACCCATCCTTTCCTTCCGAAAGGCAAGACGCTCAAATCCAATCATGCAAACACAAGTCCCAAGTGGGACACATAGAATACAAGTGTCTTTCCCTTGGTGCTCCCAGCGCTTCCTACCCATAACTCACATTTTTTTCTCAGGACAATGAGTGTCACTCCCCCTATTCTCAGATATAGTGGTTAGTTCCTTCTTGTTAGGGTCTTCAAAGGTGAGCTAGTTTCCCTGGGAGTGTAGCAACTCCCTTCATTCCCTTTCTTTTCACTTGTCTGTCCTTTCATAAGGCGAGATTGTTCCTTCTTGATGACCCGTTGTGTTCATGTTGGTTCCTTCAAGCATTTTAAAAAAAAGGTGCAAAGTGCATGAGCCCGCTAGGCTCAAAGAAGAAGATAGAAGGGCACCCGTCCGGTCGGATCACTCCGCCACGGGATTTTCATTGGCACCAGGTCTAAGCCGAAGCACCAACCGCCTGCCAGGTAACCGGAGCCCTTCTTTCATACGAAGAGGAGGGGTCGACCTGCGACTTGCCCAAGGCTTCCCCGGACTGGCGAACACCAGCACCAGACGAAGGAGGGCTAGAGCCATTCCACAAGGAAACGACTGATCAAGTGCATAGCATGCATGTTATACCTCCAGGCCCGGCCATGCCATGCGCCCAACCACTCTCAAATCTGATTTCCCACAAGGGAAAGAACAAACACAAGTTCATTTTTCTTATCTTGGGTTGTGTACACGTCAATGCGTCGCACGCCCCCTTCAGAATCACAAGGGTCAATTTAACCCTTGCCCGTCACCTCAACCATTTTTGTAGGGCCAAACCCTGGTAGACTTTCGAGCCTTAGTCGACCCCACTGCGGGTCCCAGTTGGCTCGGCCTGCCCACGATCATGCTCAGGGCGCGGGCCGTTCGTCCCAGGGTCACCCCCACCTAGTGCTTTGAGATGGATGGGGGTGGGCCATCGCACGAGAGAGCTTTGACATTGGGGATGTAGCTCAGTCCTCACGCCGGGTGGTAGTCTCGCTGGTCATTCCATAGCACTGATTTTTTTTTTATTCTTTGTCGTTTTCTCAAGCAATTGCTCCTTCCCATACACAGGCAGCCCAAGGGTTCTTTGAGAGTAATCTTCTTTTGTGCGCAGACTAAGCGTCATCCTTAGGTCGCGCACCATTTTCCTAAACCTTGTGTTCCTACGGCGTCATCGGGGTGTGGCGAAACCGTCCTCCCCCTCGCCTCTATGCACCCCTCGGGTCTCATAATTCACACTCAAATTATTGAAGCAAGCCCCTTAGTCTTTTTGGGGCCTTTACATGCATGCACACGTAACTTCACATTTCCCTTGGCAAGATTGCATGCCCTTCCCTCATTCATACTAAATTTTAACCGCAAAGGTCATTCTCATGGGTTGGCTTTATGCTAAGGGTCCCGTAACCCCCTTCGTCCCCCTTCCCTTTTCATTTTGATGCCCGGTTCCTCCCGGCCCTATCCCGCTCAAGGCATCCTTAGCCTTCACTTACCTGCACAATCTCATACAAAGCAAAAATTCATACAATCCCCCGTTGGGGGTCAACACATAGCTCTTCCCACATGCCTATCTTTTCAAAACTCTTTGGCTGTTCTTTGTTCCCTTTTCTTTCCTCAATCAGCCCATCCTGTTCTCATAGTCATGCAGTCGGGGAAATGGTTGAGTCAAAAAACTGACCTCGCTTTAACTTATACTTTTTTCGGATCTCGTCCTTTCTCACTTTTCCAACGTCATTTTTCTTTGCCTTCTTGGTGGCGCAAGGGACCGGCTACCCCTTCCCTTGCGCTCTCTCTCCACCAAGTGAGGTATGATCCCCTTTTTACTGTTCGCACCCTGGCATTGTAACAAGTGAGGGGAGAAGCGTTAGTCATATGCCAAGTGAGGGGAAGGGAGAGAGGGGGCCAAAGTGAAGGGAGAGAGAGAGAGAGAGAGAGAGAGAGAGAGAGAGAGAGAGAGAGAGAGAGAGAAGAGAGGAAGAGAGAAAGAGAAAGAGAGAGAGGGAGAAGGAGAGAGATAACAAATTTTTAATCCTAATCAAGTTATCACCCGTAGTAGCAGCCAAATGTCGGTCACCCATCCCATAGTAAAAGATCAACTAAGTATGAACCGAATACTATAACACACATGAACTTGCCAATGAGAAACTGGGACTAGCGAAAAGCACATGCACATGGAGGAAAGATCAACTAAGTAGGAACTGGAACATCACAACACAAAATAAACTTGACAATTAGTGAAAAGCATATGCACATAGAGGAGAGATCAACCAATTAGGAACCGGAACATCACAACATACATGAACTTTGATAATGGGAAGCTAGAACTCGTGGAAAGCACATGCACATAGAGGAGAGATCAACTAAGCAAGAACCGGAACATCACAACATACATGAACATGACAATGGGAAGCTAGAACTAGTGGAAAGCACATGCACATAGAGGAGAGACCAACTAAGCAAGATCCGAAACATTACAACACACATGAACTTGACAATGAGAAGCTAGATCTAGTGGAAAGCACATGCACATCGAGGAAGAGATTATCTAAGCAAGATCCAGAACATCGCATCAAGCATGAACTTGACAATGAGAAGCTAGATCTAGTGGAAAGCACATGCACATAGAGAAGAGATCAACTAAGTAACATCCGAAACATCACATCAAGCATGAACTTGCCAATGAGAAGCTAGATCTAGTAAGCACATCCACATAGAGGAGAGATCATTTAAGTAAGAACTGGAACATCACCTACTAACATGTGAGTGAAGGCGAGAGTCTAACAAGATCAAACACAAGGATTTGAGCAAAGATCCATTCACGGAAGAATCGGAGCACATCCTACTACTAATGTAAGTGAAAGCAAGAGTCTAAGTAGGCTAGATCACCAAGGTTGAACCAAAGGTCATCCATAAAAGAAGCGGTGCACTTCCTACTAGTGTGTGAGTGAAAGGCATGAACTTGAGTGGGCTAGATCACCAAGATTGCATCAAAGACCATACATGGAATCAACGGTGCACTACCTACTAGTGTGTGAGTGAAAAGCAAGAGTGTGAGTAGGCTAGATCACCAAGATTGCATCAAAGATCATCCATGGAAGTTGTGGTGCACTACCTACTAGTGTGTGAGTGAAAACCAAGAGTGTGAGTAGGCTAGATCACCAAGATAGCATCAAAGATCATCCATAAAAGTAGTGGTGCACTACCTACTAGTGTGTCAGTGAAAAGCATGAGTGTGAGTAGGCTGGATCACCAAAATTGCATTAAAGATCGTCCATGGAAGTAGCGGCGCACTACCTACTAGTGTGTGAGTGAAAAGCAAGAGTTTGATTAGGGTAGATTACCAAGATTGCATCAAAGATCATCCATGTTGCGGTGCACTACCTACTAGTGTGTGAGTGAAAAGCAAGAGTGTGAGTAGGCTAGATCACCAAGATTGCATCAAAGATCATCCATGGAAGTAGCGGTGCACTACCTACCAGTGTATGAGTGAAAAGCAAGAACTTGAGCAGCCCAAATCACAAGTAACCAACATGACATCATCCATTAAAGAATCGGAGTACTACCTTCTAGTATGTGAGTGAAAAACAAGAGTTTGAGTAGCTCAAATCACAAGTAACCAACATGAGATCATCCATAGAAGAATCGGAGTACTACCTACTAGTATATGAGTGAAAACCAAGAGTTGCACTAGGCTATCTCACAAGATTTGAGCAAGAGATCATCCATGGAAGAATCGGAGGATCTCCTACTAACACGTGAGTGGCGAACAAGAGTTTGAGTAGCCTAAATCACTAGTAACCGACATGAGATCATCCATAGAAGAATCGGAGCACTACCAACTAGTATGTGAGTGAAAAGCAAGAGTTTGAGTAGCCCAAATCACAAGTAACCAACATGACATCATCCATAGAAGAATCGGAGCACTACCTACTAGTATGTGAGTGAAAAACAAGAGTTTGAGTAACTTAAATCATAAGTTATCAACATGACATCAMCCATAGAAGAATCGGAGCACCACCTACTAGTATATGAGTGAAAAACAAGAGTTTGAGTAACCCAAATCACAAGTACACAACATGACATCATCCATAGAAGAATAAGAGCACTAGCTACTAGTGTGTGAATGAAAAACAAGAGTTGCACTAGAC